AAGTACTTTATCCGGCAAAATGTTTCGAAATTTAAGCAGAAATCTACACTACTCTGTATTCAGACAATTTACTGCGCCGGTAATTGTCCTAAACTTAGTTTGCGTACTCGAGCGTGTTTTCCACTGCGAAAAGAGCAATTTAACCTCGGGAGCTTTACCGAATGGGACTTGCCGTACTTGGAAATTTATTCTTTGTCCTAGAAAAACCGGGTGAAACAGGTTGTGAACAGGGATTATTTAAAGGAAACTAAACATGTTATCGATTTTCAAAAGTCAGACTTAAAAGTCTGGGCCGATCTTCTCTTGCCGGTTGTGGATAAAAAAATTAATTCAGAGGAAGAAGAAGAAGAAGAAGAAGAAGAAGAAGAAGAAGAAGAAGAAGAAGAAGAAGAAGAAGAAGAAGAAGAAGAAGAAGAAGAAGAAGAAGAAGAAGAAGAAAAAGATGATGATGATGATGGTGGTGGTGGTGGTGGTGGTGGTGATGATGATGATGATGATGATGATGATGATGATGATGATGATGATGATGATGATGATGATGATGATGATGATGATGATGATGATGATGATGATGATGATGATGATGATGATGATGATGGTGATGATGATGGAAAACCAAGCTCTACCGTTCGACGCAGGAAGATTATCAGGATTTTTCAGGAAAGCGAGAAAACGTCCAAAAACTCAGGGCTCACACGCGGTCCAGAGCTGGCGTGGGATCAATGCATCCCGAGCATTCGAGGAGAAGCCCCAAGAAAACGGAGCTAGTAAGTTCCGTAGCGCGATCGGTGAGCGTCCCTCTACATTTGTGTGAACCAGATCACAACCGATAGACAACGAGCCCGTGGCTCCGTGGTTAGAGGCATTGGACCTCTAACCAACAGGCCGTACGATCGAACCCCAAGGGGTTGCACACCCGGGGGGTTGGGCATGGCCGACTGACGACGGCTAATAAGCCAGAAATGGCCATTCCAGTCTCCGTTGTTTTTGTCGACAATACCACTCCGCCTATATCGTGCGCCGCTGCACGGCTGCTGGTGGGGCTCGAGATAAAGCTCTAAGACACAATGGACGAGTGACTGTCGTAGCGCGACCAGTTTCCGCCCTCTATCAACAAAGACATTCTTCAGGCTACCAAAACATGGGAGGCAGGGGGGTGCAGATGCCGGCACTCCGGGAAAGAGGGGCTCGGTATGGTAGACTGAGAACAGCTGCGCAATCAGAGTGACATCGAAGGACAGTTGCGAGGTCACCATATCCATAAATTGCTGCCTTACTCCCTACCCCCTCTCTCCAAGGTCTACCAGGCCCGACGGACACACCTCAACCTGAGGGTCACAGCATCCCAGATCGGTTGAACGCCGACGCCAGCGGTAACACTAAGGCCCGCGCTGCGACGGTAATCAAAATAAATGAAAAAGAGGACAGAAGGTAGGTAGTCGCCTGCACTCCCCGTGTTCAGGTCACGGAACGCCGTCAATGAGTCACCTCGGAGCGAGGGAGGCTGTCGCAGCAAGGACATCCAACTTCCTGTCGCCGTAGTTGATCCTCGGGTGCGGCCATGAGCACCAGTAGGTACTGCGCCGCGCGATGTAACTCAATGCTTCAGTTATGACAAGGTTGCTTACATTCAAAGAGCCGAGAAAGTAACTCTAGACTAGATCGCAGTTGGTAGCCAGGAATGAGAAGCGGACGGCGAACTTAACCCTTAACCTAACCTCAACCTTGAACGTTAACCGTTAACCCTAACGGCATCACTAACCCTAACACTAATCGAAATCGTAAACGTAACCGTAGCCCTTAGACACAGCCGTAACTGAAAAGCCTAACCGTAATACTGAAACCCATTCGTACGCTCAAACCCTAACCGTAACCCGATACCTAAGCCTAAAGGCATGACCTTAACGTGAAAATCGGAAACCATTAACCGGTAACCTTATCCTAACCTCAACCGTAAAACGGAAGCCAAATGGGACAGATGTGATTATGGAGTCCCACAAAATAGCCCCAGTAAAAAAAACAACCAGCCACCTGTAATACGGGTCCTGGCTACCAACTGCGATCTGGCCCGGTTCGCACAGGAACAGCATAATATGTAATTAGGAAGTGGTAAGATGTGGTTATATAGCCCCGTCTGATGGACCCAATACTGTTGGGGTTGGGGTTAGGGTTAGGGGCTAAGGTTGGAAGTTAGACCTAGGGGTTAGGGTCAGGGGGTTAGGGCAACTATTTTTCAACCACTCAAAGTACAACCGCGCATTCCCAATAGCTTTTCTTTTGATGCAACTACTTGATCTCGTCGCCTGTGCGCTCCCCGGCCCCACCTGCAAAAACCCTTTATTGGCACCGATCCCGTATTACAGGTGGTTTGGGTTTGTTTACTTCAGTTGGGGCTACATAACCACATCTGACTGAGGAAGTTAATGCGCTGATGCCAATACAGTACTGCAGGGATGAGGAGACTTGACGTACCCATCGAATCTTCATTTTTTGAGTCTTCATTTGGGTATGCCAGATAGTGGTGACGCCTCTTTTTTTGAGGCAACAGAGAACACTGGTGTTACAGGGAATCAGCCCCCAATGCAAGAGATCAGCTGAAAATAGGGGGCCTAAGTGATGGATCATTTAGGATAACATCTAACATCGAATGACTCGGATCCGAATCGCAGTTCGTCCAAATCTGGAGTTGGCAAGACCTAACTGACAACCGTAAATGTACCAGAAATTGTCTTTCTAGTCCCTTTAGTATTTGTCAGTACTTATTCCCCAACATTATTGGTCGCTAACGGACTGTCTGTGTGGGCTCTAGATTGAACCACAACGCGTAGCTGGATGGCCATGCTTTTAACCACTGAGTATGATGACTTAATAAAATCTGCAAAAACACCACTAATTAATAGATCCCACAACTGTCTGATGGATCCCATATTGATTTCTTGCGAAGCTACTTTACTGTGGTAGAGGGGCGTTCACCGAGCGTTTTTATGGAACTCATTCGTCCCGTCGTGCCTTACGGGCTCTCTCTCGAGCCCAACCAGCAGCCGCACACAGCGGCGCACGATATATAGGCAGTATGTTGTTACCGACAAAGACAAGGGAGACTGGAATGGCCATTTCTGGATTATCGGCTGTCGTCAGCCAGTCATACTCTACCCTGAAGTATGAAACATCTAGGGTTCGATTTCGCGACCTGTTGGTTAGAAATCCAATTCCCCTAACCACTGAGCCATGGACTCGTTTTCCTGCCGGGAGGAGTTAGTTCCGTAACCCGATCGGCGTGCACCCTTCTATTATTGTATGTGCACGATCGCAACCGACAGGACAACGCGCCCGTGGCTCAGTGGTTAGAGGTGTTTGACTTCTAACTAACAGTTCGCGGGAACGAGCTCCAGGTGTTTCACATCTTAGGGTTGGGTGTGACTGGCTGCCAACGGCTAATAAGCCAGAAATGGCCAGTTCAGTCTCCCTCGTCCTCGTCGATAACGACATTCTGCTTATATCATGCGCCGCTGTGCAGATGCTCGTTAGGTTCGAGAGAGAGAGAGAGAGAGAGAGAGAGAGAGAGTCCTAAGGAACTGTGGGACGAGTAAGTTCCGTAAAAACGATCGGTGAGCACCCTTTTACCACATTACATGTACATATATTGCCATTATATAGTGGTAAAAGGGAGCTCACAGATCGTTTTTACGGAACTTACTCGTCCCTCACTGCCTTAGGGCTGATTGATTGCGCGTAATTTAGCCTACTCTCAGTATTATCTTCTAGACGATACCATGTTTTGACAGGTGTCTTCGGATAGTCTCCTAGGGCATATTTTCCCGAGGAAATATCATTCGCCACAGAGTACATGAATGTCGTAATACCTTTTTCTAACAGATTCATTACATGCCAAAGCACGAAAATCTAAAAGCCCAGGCAGATCGTAAGAAGGGCGTAAAGCGGCCGGATTGTTTGTGTTTTTCTTAATGTTGCTTTCAATGTGGATGGTTTGTCCTCCAACTGTTCAATCGGCACCGTTCATTCCAGCGGGTAAATTTAATCATCCTATCTCGCTATTTTCGTTGCTTTTGTGCACGTTCCAGTCAGGCCAGCAAGGCAACCCGAATTTACCCCCGTGAACCCATAAATCACCGAAAACATAGCTGTCGCGAGGACGACCTCCGTTTGGTTAGAATGTTTACGAATGTCCACGGTCAAGCTTTTCAAAGATCGTACAGGGTGAACGACACGAAAGGCTATCCAAGAACCAATCACCGGCAGTGAAACGTCATGCGCAGCCTTTTCTGTTGATTGGTCAGAGGTTCCAGTTGCCCGGTCGTATTGTGTTCTGTGGGTTCTCTTATCTGAACCTCATCTGTATAAGTGACATTGCAAGGTTCAGATTTTTATGTCCCAACAAGCAATAAACGTGCACTTTTAGTAGCGGCGGTTAAGTTAGAGAGCAGGTCCTTACGATTTCCCTCATGCATACAGTCAATGATTGGTCGCATGAAATGTTCGTCGAAATTCTGAAATGCGTTTTCGATTTGGAAGGATTACCTAGGTGGAACTTAAATAATGATTATCACGCGGCATAATCCTATGATACTTCGGACCCACCCGGACGTTTGCTTATGAATGCACTTCTTTCCGAATTCCTGTAAAAACCGCACTGGGCAAAAAATGACAACTTAAGTAGCATGCGTTTTCACAGAGATTCTCGACGGCCTTATAAATTCGAATATATTTTATAGAAAACATACACAAAATGTGCCATCGTTTACTCATTTGGTAACAAATCACGTCATCTTCGTATTTTGTACTCGAAGAAAGGGTATATTTAGGTTTTAAAGCAGTAACCTAATTCCCGAATATTTTGAGGCAGATCAACCACGGCATTCGCGTTTAGCGATTTCATTCTGCGGGGCGTGTACTTTTCGCGTTAGGAGAATCGGTAGTGGCCGATCACGCTGTCCTGGTCCCAAGTGTAAGCTCAATGTGGTCATTATAATTGAAGTAAGTCAAGGGAGGATGCCAAAATCGTTAGTGGGAAAGTAGCCGAAGCTAAAACGGAAAATGGTAACTTGACGTTTCGGTTTAGAGGTAGGGTTCGTTCTAGGGTTTGGGTTAGTTTCAAGCTGGGAATTGAGTTTAGGTTTTGGGTTTGTGTTAAATTTAAGGGTCCTGGTTAGAGTTAGGGTTTGGATTGCGGTTTAGGTTAACGTTTAGTGTTAGGGCAGGGTTGTGGTTGAGGTTTGGGTTGGGATTTGGGTGAGGGTTAAGGTTAAGGGTTAGGTCTAGGGTTTGTGGTTGGTTTAGGGTTAGGTTTGCTGTTAAGCTTAGGGTTAGCGCTGGTTTATAGTCAAGGATTCGGCTTGCTTTTGAGGTTACGGTTAGGTTTACAGTTCGGTTTGAGGTATAGCTGCCCTGGGTGTCCTATCAGCCATGTCTTTTGCGGGAATTCTTGGCTTCCTTCAGTTTTTCGGCGGATTTGTCATATATCGGTCTCGGCTACTTTCCCACTACCGATTTCAGCATCCCCCTTCGGCTTACCTTACTTTCAATGCCCACATTCCTCTTGCATTTGAGACCAGGACAGCGTAATCGACCCTTGCCGGAAAATCACATATTCCTCTATGCCTTTAGGAAGATACCATGTGGAGTTCAGTAATTTTTGTAGTGGATTCAGACTATGTTGCATATTTCATGGGGAGCATTAATAAACGGACAGGTACAATGTTGCCTGAGTGGACATTGTACGGTCTTAAAAACCCTCATAATTAGAAATTTTTCAAAACCGAAAGGTGCTATTTCCTCGAGTGTAAAATGCAAAGATGACGGGCTTTGCTACCAAATGAGTAAAAGCGAGCATCTTATTAGGCATGCTTTCTATTAAATACATTTGAATCTATAAGGCCATCGAAAATCGACGTGAAAATGAATACTGCTGAAGTTGTTCTTTTTTTACCGAGTGCAGTTTTTACAGGAGTTCGAACAGAAGTACGTTCAAAACCCAGCGTCCTAGTGAATCCAGGATATCATAGGATTATGCCGCGTGATGGTCAGTATTTCAATTCCACCTGCGTAATCCTTCCAAATCGAAAGCCGATTTCAGAATTTCGAATAACTTTTCATGATATCGGTTAGTCCTTGCAGTTTTCCATAGATCATGTTTAGGAAGGGATCATTCCAAATATATTTATAAAAATTGACGACAATACAATTGAAGCACACAGTTCAAATATGCTCTTAATGCCAGCTTCTGTATCTACAGGATCATAAAGACAGTGTTGCGTGTTTTGGTGTCGTTGTACGACCGAAACTGGAGCATGGAATGCCAGCAGCTTCACCATGTATAAGGAAGGATATCGACCTACTCGTACAGGTGCAACGCAGATGGTCGACGGTTTAGAGCATCCGTCTTACCAGGAGAGGCTGAATATGTTTGGCTTATTCCTTCTCTCTTATAGACAACAAAACTGCAATCTACTCCAGACATTCCGGATTGTCCGCGGTCAAGGTTGCTCATTAGGAATGGAGGACTCCTTTGAGTTTGCCCCTACGAACCAATTACGCGATCATGCCTCCAAAGTCAACAGTGAGCGCACGCGGTTAGATTGTCGAAAGTTTTCTTTCAGCCGGCGGGTTTCCCGACCGTGAAACTCGCACCCAAGCGAGATGGTGACGGCTGACGCAATGTAAATATTTAAAAGAACACTTGCTCGCCTAATTTTCACCAGAAATCGGCTTTTACAGCATGACTACCCACAGCCAGTTTCGGAAAACACTGTCATATACAATCCCTCCGCACTAACTTACAGTGAACTGATGCACTTCCTTATCACTACGATTGTACTGTGACCCGATCACGTTGTAAATGCCTGGAATTTTATTTTGACTGCGAATCTGCGAAAGCACTGCACATAAATAGGGTCATCAACGGCTCTGCCTCTAACCCTCGAAATATATACATATGTATACATCAATCAGGAATGGGCGCACACCGATCTATTGGCTTCACAAACCAAACAAGCTCCGTATGTGTGGCAAAGGTCACGAACAGACAACCAATTACCAGGCCGAAGTCGGCCATCTGGTAGGCCTCAGTGGTGGACCGACTGCGCCAGGTGCGTCTGTGCGCATGTTTGTGTTTCTGGTCCCAGCTGCTGGTGGTCAGGGTTATGATTGGCTGAATGAAGGCAGAATAAGCCCGAAACAGTGCTGTATCAATCTACCCGCATTCTCTGTCGTCCCTCCTCGCTGCTATATGTATACCTATACAGTGCGTGACCTATCTCATGAAATGTTGGCTGAAATTCTGAAATATGTTTTTGATTAGGAAGGATTACTTGGTCGCGGTTGTGATACTGATTATCATAAGGCATACTCTTATAACATTTTGGACTTGGCAGGATGTCGGCTTTTAAATGCACTTCTTTTCAATCGCCTGTAGAAAGCGTGCTCGGTAATAAATGACTTCTTATTTAGCATGCATTTTTCCCATTGATTTTCGATGGTCTCGGAAATTCAAATATATTTTATAGAAACCACAAACAAAAATATGATTTCTTTTAGTCAATCAATAAAGAAGCATGTCTTCTTTATATTTTATACTTAAGGAAGGAGTATAATTAGGTTTTAAAAAAGTTTCCAATTATGAGACTTTTTAAGACCGCGACATGTCCATTCACATAGCATCGTACCTGGCCGTTTACCACTGCTCCTCATGAAATGTACAACATGGTCCGCATCCATTGCAAAATTTTATGGACCCTGTATGATGTCCCTTTAATGACATAGAAAAATATGGGATTTTCTTTACGCGGAACGCATGCATCTTGTAGAGTGTAAGCACTAAGCGCTAATGCAACAAATGATCAGGCTTCAAGTTTTTCGGCAATTAGAAAACTTTTTAAAACCTAATTATCCTCCTTCCTTAAGTATAAAATATAAAGAAGACGTGATTCTCTATTGATTGACTAAAAGAAAACATATTTTTGTTTGTGCTTTCTATAAAATATATTTAAATTTCCAAGACGATCGAAAATCAATGGGAGAAATGCATGCTACTTAAGTAGTCATTTTTCACCGAGCACGCTTTCTACAGGAGATTGAAAAGAAGTGCATTTAAAAGCCGACATCCTCCCGAGTCCAAAATGTTATAAGGGTATGCCTTAAGATAATCAGTATCACACTCGCGACCAAGTAATCCTTCCTAATCGAAAACGCATTTCAGAATTTCAGTGACCTTTTCAAACTAATCAACGAATTTGACAGGGTCTCGGTCGTGGAGGCCGGAGCAGTCTACAGAGCGTACATGGTGTTTTTAAGAAGGCCAGTTCACGGCAAAGGCTGTGGGACCTTGTCAGGAAAAAAGGCAACACTCCCACTTTTGGTGCGCGACGCGGGGGACAGCTTTGCGACAACACGCACACATTCCTAACTCAGCTGACAGAGGCAGTTACTGACGTCAGTCGGCGACACCTTTGGTATTTGGCGCTGGGAGGGGGGAGATTTTAGACTAACAAATCTTAGGGCATCAGTTAATGCTTGGGCATTAGAAGATGTCATACTAGCAGCACAGGCACTGGCCCAGACACGCGTGTTTCGCCGATATTCTGTCGCTGCATGGCACAGCTGCGCGGCGTTCGGCACTCCAGTGGGTCCGTTAGCATTCCCCGCGTGTTTTCTGGTAGATAATCCAATTTAGGCATCGTTCTATATTTTCATCCAAAATTTAATTGAATTTTGTCTAATATCTAAGAGAATTTAAAAGGCTTGTGCTGTATAACTTGGGAGAACTGTTTGTAGGAATGTAAAAGGGCTTCTAAGGATCTAGCACATAAAAATAATCATCAAAACAAATGGTTTTTACTTTGAGAATTTTCACTTTTCGTGAGGGATCACTATATTCCGGTCTATCGGTCATCCAGACGGCTGTGGGTTCCATGTCCCAGCAATAGAAGCATTCATGAACATCGAGTATACTAAAGTGTTGCAGTCTCCGATCGGGAAAAAATGTAGTAGTAATGTTTCATAATACTCACTTTTTCTCCTTTTCTGCGCCACTTTATTTAGACTCCTTTTCGCTCTTTGAACAGCATTATCACCAATTCAACCCTGGCGCGGTGTCCTTGGAGCCACCACGGCACAGTTTTTTGTTTTAATTCGCAATGATGGCAGCGTGCATTTTCGTCCAGTGTACTTTCACCTCTCGGCTGATTTACTCCGTAAAAAGGAGGCCAATGGTAACTGTCTAAAAACCACTGACAAAAGGCAATTCTCTCAATCCCCCCCCCCCCACCACGACTCCGCCTTCCCGTCGCCACCACACGCTGTCTTGGCCACAGACGACACAGCCGAAACTTGAACTCAGTTCGCCTTATCGGTGACGCAAATGTAAACAAAGTTCTGAGCCAGTCGATCAGATGTGGTTATGTAGCCGCACCTGAGGTAAACAAACCCCAGCCACCTGTAATACGGTTCCGGTGGTAATAGGACTTTTTACAGGTGGGGTCGGGGATCGCATAGACGACATGGTCAAGTAATAGCATGTAAAAGAAACGCTATTGAGGATGCGCAGTTGTACTTTGAGTGGTTGAGAAACAGTTGTCATAACCCCTAACCGTAGCCCTAAACCCTAACGCCTAATCCCTAACCAGAACCCCTAACCCCAGCATCCCCTGTCTGTTTTCTGGTAAATACACCAGTTTAGCAATTACGGCTTTTCAAATTCCTCGGAAATTAACCGCTGGCGTGGAATTGATCTACTCCAAGTTAGTAGTTAATTTATGATGAACTTAAAAAGCAACAATTTATAAACTAGAGTATCTACCTGGAAGCACACATGGGATGCTAGGAGACTCACTGAAGAGCCAAACCCCTCGTAGCTGTGCCATGCAGCGGCAGAATATTGGCGAAACACGCGTGTCTGGGCCTTTAGTTAGTATCTGTGCTGTGCTTAAATATACTACTAGCTACCTGTCGACAGGTAACAAATATTACCCGCTCACCCCGCTGTGGCTGATGGACTTCGGCCCGAATATTCATATATAAAAGTTTGGCCTGTGTCCGTAGACCATAGTATAGACTGATTTATTTGAAGTTTGCGGTTAATTTCTGAGGAATTTCAAAAGCAGCATTTAAAAGATGTCTTGATTATATCAGTCATCATTTCTTGCGCCTAAAACTTCGAGGTTCAACGCTAGTCTGTATGCCCAGTGGACTGAAAGAAGGCGCAAGAATGACGTTATTTGCGAAAGTATATTGCTTATTCTAAAATATCACCTTCCGGATCAATAGACGTATGCTGATAACTTCAAACGTAACATATGCTCGGAGAGCTCATTTCCAAAATATGAAAACAGACAACTTAGGACGACTTCTGCCATTTGTGAGTCATTTTAAACAGTAACACCTAGTTTTTCTGTGACAGACAACTTTTTATTACGAAGAAGATGGGTCGAATTTCAGCGCCAAATGTTCTACACGGCAGTGCAAGTGGAGGGAGAAAATGACACCCAGTCCCGGAAATTAATCTCTTCAACATAAGAGCTTTTAAGCGTAAATAAGTCCAACCATCACTTAGACAAAACACTTTGGGGGGAGGGGATTTTACGGCTACCACACTGAGAACACTCACACCGTGTTTTTGCTCAAACCCCTGGGGTATTCATCGCCCTCCTTGTCCTTCCTGTCATCCTCCTCTCCACCCTCCTCTTTCTCCTCCAACTCCACCCCCTCCTCCTCCTTTTCGCCAGCATCATCTTTGTCATCCTGCCGGCGCTCGTCCCGGAGAGCTGGATCCACCATCGTCCCAAGGAAGTAGGCGCAGCCGCGACTTGAGCCAGACTTTCGCTGCGTCCTCTTCCCCCGACCATTCCTCAACCGCCATGCCCCGGTCACAGGACATTTTTGGACAAGACGACTGGAGGTGCCCGTGAGCTCACTGTCTTGCTAAGCTAAAAGGCCTGTCCACGCGTGTGCCCCAATCGGCCTGGTCTCTCGTCCCCCACACACCGGCGTAAGAAGCCTAACATCTTACGCAGTGGTGGTGCGACGAAAAAGTCACATCCATGTCTTATTGCAGTCTGCGGGTAAGTTCGTCAGTCACCGGCCTTTCAAGACACGACTTTTAGCGTGTCGTGATACGTTCGATCGCGTCAGAGGCGTTATTATTATTATTATTATTATTATGCAGAAGGATTCCGCATAATCGATCGACTTTCCATGCGCCAGTGATCTATCCAAGCTTGTCGGCTGACTGGTAATAAGGTTGGACTTTGTGATTGGCGTGACGCACAGGCTGTCAAACGCACACCCTCTCGACAGTTCAACCATCTTGGCCGGCGATGTAGACCGTGTGCTCCACAGCAGGGCGAGAGCAGGGATGTTGACTTGCGCGTGAATAGTGATAGTAGACTTTCGAAGCATCTACCGCACTCAATCCTCCCTCCCTACCTGGGTCGAGCGTCATGACCAAGTCGAATAAGACCAGTGACGAGAGAGGGCGCAGATGGCTGGCAAGGCAAAAAGCCATACCTAGGCATACCGACATCCCCCCTCCTGAACCACAACGCACAATTGACCAGGATTTTACACAACAAAAGAAGAAGCGACAAGGATCCCAGCTGGCCTGGCCTGGGGGTACCGCCATACCCCCGGCGTTGGCATTTGTTATGAGTACGCAATCCCAGTAACGCCTACCGGACCTCCATCTAGCCCACCACTTGGTCCAGCGCATCTGCTACGTGTCTCTTACTTGTACTTGGTATGACTGCGATCATGCCTGATCTGAGCGGCCTCGATCATGTCCCGAACTGTACCTCTCCACGCGTGACGATCCGCGGCAGCAGATCTGGACAGCTAAACACATTCCCTTCGCCAACGACGGAGGTCGAATACCGAAGGCCCAAGAACAACCTCTATGTCTTGATGAACTGTGCCAAGCCGGATTTTGAGTTGTTCCCCTCTTCGATGCCTCCAATGGCGTAAAGGTGCCGGATCAGTAACACTGAGCACCTGAGATGGACGATGAAGAGCATTGCAAAACCACCTCAGTCGCCTTTCTTGGATGGCCTGTGTTATCCTCGCGATGTTGTCGCAGCGAGCGCGGACTGTCTCATTTGAGACGAAGTCCAAGTACTTCACTCAAAGAATGATCCTCAAGCAGTGGTGGTCAAATATCTCCAGTTTTCGCTCGTCCTCCACGCGTACAGCCCAGCATTCACAACCATAGAGAAGGACAGACCGGACAGATTCACGGTACACGTGAATCTTGGCGGTGATTGAGAGGTCGCGTCGGACCCATAGGCATTTTCTAAGGCTCGAGAAAACCCGTCGGGCAACATCATTTCGGGAGATAATGTCGTCCTTACTCTGTCCATTCGAAAGCGGCCTCACCCCAAAGCATTTATAAATGTCCACTTCTTCAATTTGACAGTCACAAATTCCGAAATGTGCTTTCTCCTGGTCAGGGATTCAGCTTGAAATGACTTTCGTCTTCCCTGCCTTTATGGATAAACCGACCGATTTAGTGACCTCGTTCACCCGTGACACCATACACTGTAGATCATAAAAACGTGAAGCAAGTAAGGTAATATCACCGGCATAGTCGAGATCAGCCAGCCGGTGTCCGGGCGCAAATTAAACACCGTCACCTTCATATAGGGCTCTGCCGAGAATCCTGACAATTACGTAATTAAACAGAAGGAACGACAGGATACAACCCTGTCGAGCGACAGACCGAATAGTAAACTGTCGGGAAAGATTGTTGTAGACCAGGACTCGCGTGGTGGTGGAGCGATAATGGGCCTTGAGGTCGGTTCATATTTCGTAGCCGTACCTGCAGTAGACAAGCCCCAGACCAACCTTTAACCTTACCTTTAACCCCTAACTCTTAATCCAAACCCCTCATCTTAACCCCTAACCCCCAGACCCAACCCACAACCCCTAACCACAGCCCCTAACCCCTACCCCTAACCCCAACCCATAACCCCTAACCCGAACTCCTAACCCCTAACGCTACCCGCTAACAGCTACGGCTACGAAATAAGATCTTGCCGGCCTTGATCATGACGAGGATTTCTGGCGGTTCACCATCTAGGGCCATTATCCGCCACAGGGACTCACGATGGACGGAATCGACCGCGGCGACAAAGACAGCAAAGCAGACGGCCGTCGGTTGCTGGTAGCTATGGCGAAATTCGAGATTGCGCCTTAGTGTGCATACCTGGTCCAACGCACCTATCGCATGGCCAAACCCACACACACACACACGCACATAAGGAGGTACAACTGCCCGCTCGTCACTTCAGACGCTGAAAAACGTCGCAGTAGGGCTTATGCGCGAGTGATGGATGGGATAAGTGCTTAGCATGCCTATCTGTGTGTGAAGGAGCTGTGTGAACTTGAGTGATAACGACTGCTGCCGTGTGCACACACACACAGGCACTAATGGCCAAACGGTCCCATGCGGTGGACGGGTGTGCGGAGGAGTGTGTGGCCAAGAAAAGAGCCGGTGTTTCAGGTTAGGTGTGGACGCGGACATGCCTTCAAGCACCGCCCCCGCTGGTGTTCGCTCATTCCCTCTCCGACATCTGCGTAACCCGTATTTACTTGAAAGTTCACAGGCACTAGCACGGCCGAAGTCACGTCAAGATTTATTGCCTTTCTTCTCACTGGCCAATCACAACCCTCCACGTTCACCAGGCCTTGTCACCTCTGACGTGGGCAGGCGTGATAGTTCGCTCTTCGTAGTCTACGGAGGAAAACTCCACTACAAGGAGTTGTTGCTTGCATGGTGGGTAGGACTTTAGTGCATGCACGTGTGCCCGAACAGGTCAACGCGGCACCGGAAGGGACAATAACTGAGAGGCCAGGTTAGGGGGAGGGGGGGGGTATATAACTGTTTGGCCAGGCAATATGACAGTGGTTACCTATTCATCCTACGGTGAGTGTGCGGACGTCCGATTAGGCCAAAGCGTCACCGGAAAGTCCGGACACTAATGCGGTACGAGTTGGCATTGTGATAACACTGCTTACAGCTGTGCACTGGCGAATTTTATGTTTGAATGATTACGGAGGTGTCCAGCAGAAGCGCGATCGCACTGAAGGCATGTTGGAGCGGCTTTTCCGGTGGCAGTGGACGACCTGAGAGTGAGCCCAATGTAGGGTATGCGTGGGTATCCGACCTTGTTACCGTTCGTTGGCAATGCGGACATTTCTTTAGGAATCAGGCGCTGGTGCCTCTGATCCTCGGAGATCCATTTTGGCATTTCTACCACTTTGTCCTGGCCGCTTGTCTGTTATTGACTTTGGAGGTACCGCCCCGTCGCGTTAAGGAGATTTCCCGGATGTCTTTATTCTTACTTAGGCCTTTCAGCGGCTTCTGGAAGGTGTTCTTCTAATGTCGCTTCTGAAATCTCTGACGACGACGACGACGACCACGACCACGACTACCGGTGGTAGTATCATCGTAGGGGAGTCGCCTTGACCGTCAGTTATAATTCATCCTTATGATGCTGGACCCGGGTGCTCAGAATCTTTCTTTCCCTGCCATTCCACACCTGGCGTTCCCCACAGAGGGGTTAAACGAAAGTGTTTCTGCCCGCCTGCTGGGTTTTGGGAGTTGATAAAATTGCCATGGAGCAATAATTCAGAGAGCCATTCGGTGAGCACACGCGTTTCCTTCGATAAAATCTCATCAGGCCAGTACATTTATATCGGAACGAGGTGCAAAGTAAAACGTGTGAGTGATAAGAGAAATTGATAAAGGTTCGTTAATAGGGGGGAAGGGGGCAAGCAGGAAGTGACAATGAAGGTTAGCTAGAGCCGTGTCACAGGCGGATTCTAATGGGAATTCGGAACGTCAGGCTAATAAAGTTGGCCAGGGTCGATTACGCTGTCCGGGTCCCAAGTGTAAGCGCAACGTGGGCATTAAAATTAAAGCCGAGGGGGGGATGCTGAAATCGTTAGGGGGGAAAGTAGCCGAGGCTGAAACGAAAAAGGCAACCTGACGTACGACAAACCTGCCGCGAGATTAAAGGAGGCCTAGAATTCCAACAAAAGATCTGACTGACAGGACACGCAGGACAGCAATACCTTACACCTTACGGTAAACCTAACCGTAACCTCATAAGTAAACCTATTCCTTAACGTAACTATAAACTTGACGCTAACCCCAAACTTAACACTAAACCTAAACCTGAACCTACAACAAACCGTAGCCCTAACTTTGACCTCAACCTGGACCGTTACCCTACCCTAACCCCAACCTTAACAATAAATGTAAGCATGAACCGCAATCTAAACCCCAACTCTAACCGGCACGTTTAAACTTAACACAGACCCTAACCCCAAAACGAACCCTACCTCCGAACCGAAACATGAGGTTGTCCTCCTCCGTTTTAGCTTTAACTACTTCCCCACTGACGATTTCAGCTTCCTCCTTCGGCTTACGATGCCCACATTGCGCTTACACTTGGGACCAGGGCGGTGTAACCGACCCCTCAATCCTGAAAATCCTCATGCATAACCGCGTCGCTGCTTTTATCGCAAATTCTTCCTCCAGTCCGTATATAGCGTCTCGACCTTCCTCCGGCCTGCAGGTTTTGCGAAACTATCCTCACCCCGGTGGGCCGTATTTCAAATGCTGTACCCCACGTCGATGTTGTCTTCTTTGAGGTCGCATAACTTGTGGTATAAGTTCCAAGGCAGCCGGACAGGGATCAGTCTAGTAGGAAAAAACGCATACACGCTCACCATCGTAAGTGCATCATGACGGCTTCGCCTCCTGACGAAAACTTGGCACA